AGGGAGGTTGGGGAGGAAGATGGCCCAGTCCTGGAGTCTGGGGAAGGCTCGGAGGAGGGCTCTGTGTTGGAGTCAGAGAGGGGGGCAGAGCCGTCTGCCAGTTATCAGCTGCTTTCAGAGTCAGACATCAGTGAGGCAGAAGAACAGCTGGAGCCTGTTCCCAGTGTGCACATGCGCAGAGTGACCAGACAAAGGGAACAGCTGAGGAACAGGGGTCGACTTGGGAGGAAGGCCACAAGTGGACGGTGAATGGCCCCTCCCAGGGGAAATAAAAGAGGAGCGAAAGGGGAGTGGAGTTTGTAGGAGACCATTAGTCCATTCCTGCATTCTCGCCAAGTATTGCGCTGTCTGAAAGATATCAGCCTGGCCGCTCTCCAAACCTGACCAAGGTCGGTAATGGTGAACTATCTTGAAAGGCTGTGGGAGTGGAAAGACTTTGCTGGAGAGGAATTCGCTGTCAATGAAATAAAAGGGGGTTTATCGGGACGGGGAGTCGTGGCTTCGTGCTGCTGGGGAAACCTCGGTCGGAACGAAAACATCCCCGCTTCCTTGGTGCTATCCCTAGCTTTTCCAAGTTCCCAGGGAGGTTTTTTTATATATATATATGTTCCAGGTTTCTCGTCTCGGTGGACAGAAGCAAGGGGGCGGCTGCGGCCAAGGAAACCGTGAAGTTGGCGGGGGATTTTTTGCTCTCCACCGACGGTGTGGTCCTTGGTCTGGACCTGAGTGGAAATCCGAAAGTAAGCTTTCTCAGAAATCTTAAGCGACAGGCGGGGTTTATTTATTTATTTAATTTTGGACAGGTTCTGTCAGATCATTATTTTATGGGGCTGATCTTTTCTCTTATCTTGAAGGCGGGGCGTGCCCAGGACTTCTTGGAGCCCCTTCTGGAAGCCAAGAAAGCTGGTTTGAAGCTGTCGTTGCATCTCTCAGAGGTAACGCTTGGGTGCCGGCCGAGCATCCTTCTGGGTTTTCGGGTGAGAAGGTTCATTAAAAGGGTTTGAGCACTGGACTGGTCACCCCGAGAGAGCTCTGCGCTTCGTTGGCTCACATCTGTACACGGAGAGAGATCACCAGTGCATCTTCTAGGTCGGGGGGGGGGGTCACCAACCTTTCGGACCTCCGGGACCACTAAATTCATAATATTAAATCTCGCGGACCACTAATATGATCTGCCTAATGACCGGCTGGGTAGGCGTGGCGAGGTGGCCATGTGATTGGGTGGGTGTGGCCAACTCAATGTCACGTTGAGGGATGCCTTACCAACCTCTACTCGCCACTCCGCGCCTGCCCGCCCGGGCTCCTTAGGGCCCCAATAGGGAGCAGTTGCTGGAGTTAAGCAGCCCCCAGGAGAAAGAGTTGGCAAAAGAGCTCAGTTCAAATTGGATCTGACCGA